GGGAAAGAGAAAATCACCATTGAGAACACCACAGTAATGTTTAATGTGGACATGACGCCCCTCAAATTCTCAAATGGGTGGGTGCAAGTTTAAGGAGAAACCCTGCAGGCAGCATGTTAAGCAAGTGGTCAAGGCTCCGTGCTCACAGGTTTTTTTTGTTTGTTTTTTTGTTTTTTTGTTTTTTTGTGGTACGCGGGCCTCTCACTGCTGTGGCCTCTCCCGTTGCGGAGCACAGGCTCCGGACGCGCAGGCTCAGTGGCCATGGCTCACGGGCCCAGCCGCTCCGCGGCACGTGGGATCTTCCCGGACCGGGGCACGAACCCGTGTGCCCTTCATCAGCAGGCGGACTCTCAACCACTGCGCCACCAGGGAAGCCCTGTGCTCACAGTTTTGAGGCAGGCTTTTCCCACCTTCCTTTGCATCATGCATACTGGGTTAAAGGTCACCTGCCCAGATCAAGCCACAGAGATAACTTCTCGCTCTATCCGGTTGACTCCGCTTGATAACCACTCATAGAATGACCCACTCATCGCCCATTTTATCTTTTTCATTGAATCCTTCGCAATACATCTAAGAAAACTGGTTTTACCAGCTCTACGGAGATAAAAACTAATCAACTCAGAGAAGCAGATTGTTTAAAAAAACTAAACTATGATTATTTTTACAAAGTTTGTAGGAAAGGCTTGCTTTGTAAAGGAAAACACAAAGGAAGTAAGTAGGAGATGAAATGTGCTCTCCCACCAGACCATAAAACAGGAATAGGTGTTCTTGTTAACAAATCCAAAGAATACCTGAGTAACTGACTTCAAAGCTGATCAGTCAGAGGAACTTGCATCTAAAACACACAACAAGAGCCCCAGTGTACAGACTAACTTGCCAAGAACATTTTCCATCCTTTTCACAACACTGCTTTGTCTAAGAAAATAGGAAATTGGGAGAACAGTCCTAGGAGATTAACAAGCAATATGGTTTCTACTATTTTCTACCTACTCTACCTGGCCTCCTTCCCCCCAAGATTACAAGGGGTCCTGTGCAAAGAAGGGCATTTTCACAATTAAAAAGTGAATCAAGTGATATTCCCAAAAAACTTCCAAAAGCATTGGACATGAATTTAAGATCATGTGTGTGAAATATGCATTGTAATAAATATACACAACTTTAAATAGAGTAATTGGTGTTTAACATCAGAATAAACCATCCCGACAGGCCAATTTTTTTAAATAGGAGCTAATCAACAATAGGGGGCTTTATGCCATTTGCAGCAACATGCATGGACCTAGATATTGTCATACTGAGTGACGTAAGTCAGACAGAGAAAAACAAATCTATGCAGATTCTAAACAACAAATGATAACAAATGAACTTATTTACAAAACAGAAACAGACTCACAGACTTACAGAATGGACTTATGGTTACCAGAGGGGAAGGGTGGGGGGCAGGGAGGGAGGGATAAACTGGGAGTTTGGGATTGACATGTACACACTGCTATATTTAAAATAGATAACCAACAAGGACCTACTGTATAGCACAGGGAACTCTGCTCAATATTATGTAACAGCCTAAATGGGAAAAGAATTTGAAAAAGAATAGATACATGTATATGTATAACTGAATCACTCTGCTGTACACCTGAAACTAACACAACATGGTTAATCAACTATACTCCAATATAAAATAAAAATTTAAAAAAAAAAACCCAATAGGGGGCTTTTGATCTTACCAGTAACGAAGATTTAAAAGTAGGGATTCATAAAAGTAGGGACTGCTCAGAGGCCCCATCACAGACTGGTGTTCTATTGGAGCCCCGG